CAGAACACACTCATTCAATTTGAATCTTTATTGAAGCAAGTCGAACGGTCTAACACTCTTAATTTGCTTTACTTAACGCTGATACATATGACACACAACACAAAATCATTCATTTTGAAACTTTAGTGAAGCAATCCGAACGGTCTAACACTCTTATTTTGCTTTGCTTAACACTGATACATATGACACACAACTCAAAATCATTCATTTTGAAACTTTAGTGAAGCAAGTCGAACGGTCTAACACACTCTCTTAATTTGCTTTGGTTAATGCTGATAGAAATGACACAGAACACAAACTCATTATTTTGAAACTTTAGTGAAGCAAGTCGAACGGTCTAACACACTCTCTTAACTTGCGTTGGTTAATGTTGATAGAAATGACACAGAACACAAACTCATTCATTTTGAAACTTTAATGAAGCAAGTCGAACGGTCTAACACACTCTCTTAATTTGCTTTGGTTAATGCTGATAGAAATGACACAGAACACAAACTCATTCATTTTGAAACTTTAGTGAAGCAAGCCGAACGGTCTAACACACTCTCTTAATTTGCTTTGGTTAATGCTGATAGAAATGACACAGAACACAAACTCATTCATTTCCATCACCCACTTATATGTTCAAACTCATTCATTTCAAATTACAGCAATAATGCTGATACAAATGCACAGAACACAAACATCAGGCCATAATTCTGCTACATCACACCATTACCAATCTAATTACAATTTATCTTCAACACAAACATAATACAAAACATTATTGTTAATGCCCATGACAATACAAAGAAGAACATCATCATCTTCAAATTTTTTTCTGTCTTGCTCTAATTTCCTCTTCAACTTCTCCTTCTTCTTCCTCAAATCCAATACAACCTTTTCAATACAGACTTCAACTTCTTCATTCTACGTTTGGAAGCTTCCTTCCATTTCATAATCTCCTTCATCAACCCATTCAAAGTAATTACAACTTAAATTACTTTGCAAAAAAATTACAAATCATGAATACAAACACAATGTAGAATAAGTAAAGAACTTCTTCTCACTTACTGCCCAATTTCTACATATGTAAAATAGTCTCTCTTTGTTCTTCAATGTAGTTGCCTTCAACAACAACAATTTTTCTCCACAACCACAGATTTTTGAACCTAACTAAGAGGAGGATCCACATGTTTGGGACATTCCTGAACCAATGCCCCTTCGTGCGCAACCATTCCACCACTGTCAGCTTTCATTTCCCTTCAACAGTGATTTCGAAAGTAAAGAAAGATCCCTTTAATCCCAACAAAACTATAAATGACAAATCTATCCCTTTATTCAAACGAAAGAAAAGAGTGAACTTACGTCACCAAATGCAACAATGCTGAAGAAGATGAAATCAAACCTTCTGCTCTTGAAGCTTCTTTCCCCGTTGTTGCTCTTCACCCTTGAGACCACTCGAGCCACAACAATCGCCAAAGCAAATCGATCGAACACGAACCCTAATTTCTTTCACTCGAGCCACAGCAATCGCAAAACCAAATCTCATTCGCGTGAATAAATCCCAAGAACCCTAATTTCTTTCATAGCCTCGTCTCTCTAAAGACATGTCATCAAACTTCCAATAACACGTGCCAAAACTTACCAAGGAAATTTGTCTGAAGACGTGGCCAGACGTTAGCCAGCTCAACCTCTACTTAATGCCGTTCATTTTTTAGGACGAAAAATTATGTTTTCCTAAAGGACAAGGACCAAAAGGTACCTTAGTTTGAAAGAGGGACTAAGAACAAAATCGTTTGATAGTTTAGGGACTAAAATCATATTTAACCCTTTTTTTTATGTCCTTTTTTTTATGATGACAAATCTATAGGAATAAATCATAAGCATTTAACTATATAAAATATCATAGTACATGTATTACTTTATCAACCATCTTTTAGAATTTCATTGTATCAATGTATAACAATTTTCAGAGCTTATGTCATACAATAATTGTTAAGTCCATACAGTACAAACCCCATGCTTCAAGTGGTTTTCCCAACTATGCTTTACAAGGAATAGACAAAGAATGGATACATCATCTAACACATAATATTTTAGATTACAACTGGTTATTCAAAATCATTCAAAATCATCAGATAATATCGTGAAAAGTATTAATCAGACGATACAATAGTTACATTGATCAGACTCTATAAGTTACATTGCTCAGACGATATGAGCCCACTAAAGTTGATCCTCATATGACTACCAATGAGGAATAAATGAAACCTTCATTAGACCAAATGGTTCAAAATGTCATGATCAGACGATTGAACAAAATTGTTTCCTAATAACCATCAAACGATTATAAGATAATGACTGACATGTTTATTAATGTTTTGATTTACTGTTTGAATGATTTATGCTTTGTAACATCCCAAAAATAATACCAGAATATTCACAATTAATAATATTACAGTTCAGTTCAGAAAGGGAAAAGGTACGCTCTTGGCCGAACGACCTTACAACCAGACTTCAGAATTTAAACTCTACAAAACAATAAACTAGACCAAACGGTTCAAAAACCAAACCTACACCAAACGTTTATATTAAAACAGAACTAATTCTATCGACCGAACGGTCCTACGGTTCAGCTTTTACTTCCACTTCTTCCAGAGCCTCTTCCAATAGACACTCTTCTCCTCTTACTCACATCCACAGGATGATCATTGCAACAGGAAATGACGGTCGAACAGACAATACAAACAAGACAGTAAATAGGGTAAGCTTATGTAATTTAATTAATTCATTAAAACATATATTTCACATAAATCTAATATAATTCAATAGTCAATCATGCAACAACCAATCATGCATTTCCAACCATAATCATACATCAATGCATACAATGACCGACCACTTTCCTCTGACTGTCCGGACTGTATGAATTTTGTGTAGCTACGACGTTTTCGCACCCGGGTGATGTAGTAACTGGGATGCCCTCAACAGCTGCCACCCGGGGTTAGTCTGTTATACTTCGCCCATCTTAACCTTATGGACTAGGACCTCCTGCCATTCTCATACATGATTTACTCTTCTCTACTTGAGAATGAGTAATCATAGAATATCAGGATAAACGCCACCTTAGCATGACCATATTCATACTTTACCATTCCATAACAAATCCTGAGATATTCCTCCCTGGAATACTCTTTCATATCCATACTATTCAATTCATATCACATTTTAAATATCATCATATTTCATCATCAATACAATCAGACTGAACACTGAAAACAAGATCCCATCTTAGAACAGCAATGAAAGAAACAACTTCCATCTTAGAAGCAAGACCGAACGAGAGAATACTTTTTCGAATAATCTAACGGAATACTCAGTGTAAGACCGAGCGGTCTTTCACTTATCCACAGAACAGGACCGAACAGTCCATACTAGGTAAGACTTTGGTGACACAAAATGTTTACTTAATACTCAACAGTTATGACCGAACGGTCTTTACTGTATAGAACTCTAAGAATGTACGAAATGCATATAATTAGACTTACCCTAAAATCATGAAAACTTTTAACCGAAACCTAAGAACTTAAACTGAACACCACAAGCTTTTAACCGAACACTACTAAGTTGGACTTAACACTTCCAGTTTCAAATATAAGTACATAATTGAGGATTATGACAAGACCGAGCACTTGTTTCAAGATCGAGCGCTTGGTTCAAGACCGAGCACTACTGAACTTATGCAATGAAAGAATATATTCTAAATACAAATACATATAACTTATTTTCATCAAAGGATAAATATAATATTTAAGAATTTAAGTATTATTGAATACCTTAACTAAGCTGATTTAAGAAGTAAAAATAGGAAACTATACGTAGACCGAACGCTTATTTACAAGTATAATAATATAAAATCGATCGGTCATTAACTGAAATTCTCTACAGAAGAAGAATTCAGTTCAGACCGAATGCTCAAAGTAAAACCGAACAGTCAAGACTGACTTTCGAAAACAATTACGGAATATTGTAGATTGAAACTCAGACTCTATTCATACCCAGTTTTCACCATGTATAACCATCACTCACATACAGACAATCATACAACAACCTTTATAATTCATCTCAACCAAATATATATATATATATATATATATATAGAACATCAAACACCCAAGCCAACATTCAAAACAAGAATTATAATTAAATTACAAGCTTCCCTTACCTCTTAAACTTAGCCAAACGCTCACAGTTTGTATAGAATAGCTCACCACCTGAAATCTTAGAATCCTACAGGTCACGATTTATGAAACTAAATCAAACAAAAGACCAAAAAGGTGCTTAGAATGAGATGATAAACTCATGCAACCAGAACTTGACTTGCATGTGTCAAAAAACGAATGTTTTAAGAAGAGAAGGAACTCACCAACTTAAAACCACAACTTGATCGATGCAAAGCGAAGCCCTTAACACCAGGAAGACTCAAGCACTACTTGAATGATGATCGGATGAAAGAAAAGGTAAGAATTTGTAAAGAGAAGAAGAAGATTGTAGAGAGAAGGAGAAAATGAAAAATTCAGAAGGTTGAAGATGAAGGATGCATGCAGAAAAGTGACACGAAGTTTAAAATTTTGCTTTAAATACTACCGTCACTAAATCAATTGACCACTCAGCGCTGCACACCTGTCTTCCACTTTCTAATTTCCAGAAACCCTTGTACCTACACCTGTCTTTCACTAACAGGGAATTTTAAGGGTCCTGACAGGTTTATTGACATAAAATTTGTTTCATTCTTTGATAAATCATATCAAGAGTTATTTGCTCTGAATATATTTGAGATATTATTTAATAAGGTAAAAAAGTTTCCTAAAGAAAGTCGGAGACAAAATATCCAAGCCTTCTTAATCAAGAAAAGGAAACAAGATAATATGATGCAACAAAAGATTTGTATAAAATGAGCCTATTCTTGAAGATTAAAGAATATTTCAATCAAGAATTTCTAAATGCCAAGTTGAGCATGATCCTCAAATTCATCAAATTACACAAATATATGCTACAAGGTCATCTACAACTATGATTGAAAGAATGAAGTAATTCAAGGAAAGAATGAAGATAGTGATATAAAAAAACGGAAATAGATGCATTGAAGAGTTAAATCAAGATAATCCATGAAGATGAGGATACCGATACAAAGCGATGATGCTAAGATCTCAAAGTAGAAGTTACAAAAGTCAAGCAAAAATAAAGTTATCCAATTATCCAAAAGCTTCAAAGCTGCAGATTACATCGATGACTCCATGAAGATTTTCAAAGCACAAATCAAGCTTATCATAATTGGAGATCAATGAAGAACAGAAGTTTAGTTAGTATCCAATACATTCTGAAGAACAACAATAAAAGAGCAAGAGAAAATAGAAAGAAGTATCCGTTTGTTTCTTGATACGTACATATACTCAAACAAAGAGAACATACACATAAAGAGATACGTTGTCTGCAAGTATCCGTTTGTTTCTTGATTCTAATATCAACTAAAGTATCCGTGTGTTACGTAGAGTTTCAATTGTATGCAACGGACTTCTATTTCATTAGTTTTTCTTATTTTTATTAAAGTACTCATTCACAGTTAATCTCATCAACCTAGAATACATTATTTGACAACACAAAAATTCTGTTCCTCTGATTGAAAGGCAGAGAAAGAAGTAATAATAATAATAATAAATAAGTTAATATCACAGGACACATTATTTGACAAATTTGCTTTTGGTTTTAGAATTGCAGCACCCTTTGAAGCAGCTCCGCTGGAATTAGAATCCAAATTTCATCATGAACAGCAAATATCCTAATTTGGTAACTGATTTCATATTATAAAATCATTTTTCCATTTAAAACTTACGAAAAAGAAAGACAAAATATCAATATTAATTATCCAAATTTCAACGTAGGCCTAACTCATCAAAGAGAAATCGTTAAATCTGAGGGGTGACATTCAGTATTGACAAAAATAAATCTTCGTCATGCCTGGTTTAGATCAGCATATACACAATCCTAATGCTCCTAACCTCACGGCGAAGATAATGAGTCATTCAAGCTGATGATAGTACACTACAAAACACTCACATTGCTTGCATTTTACATCACATACAGAATTCAGTTTTAATCCCTCGTTCCCAGTTAAATGAGTAATTAAGTCGGTATTACAAGCAAATACCCGAAAAATCTGCATTCTTGACTATCCAAGGATGTTCCATTATCTTCTGAAGAGAGAGCCTTCGTGAGGAGTCCTTCACCAGAAGCTACATTATTTTATAGATTGCTGTCAGAAAGACGACTAATTTGTTCACTGAAAGAATTTACTTTGGCCAAGATATCAATACTGGATGTTAACTTACCCGGCTAATCAGACTTTTGGCATCTAAAGAAACAGAAGGGTTGGAAGGGAAGCTTAGGTCAACCTTCATTATCCTACACAAAGCTAAATACATTAAATACACAATGAAAGAACAGCGTCTACTTTAAATAAACATATAGCCCAAGAAGTTTTGTACCTTTTGAAGGTATCAGCTTGACTCTCAGCCTCAAATGGAGGGGCACCAAAGAGGAACTCATAACAAAGGATACCAAGAGTCCAGTTATCAACAGCAGAGTCATGAGCTTTATTTTCAACCATTTCTGGTGCTAAATAATCCAATGTGCCACACATGGTATGTCTTTTGCTTTTAGACTGAACAGACCAACCAAAGTCTCCAATTTTAAGACGACCCTGCAATCAAGTCACTATTAGTTGAACATACAAGTGCCCTTAAACCCCAAATATAATCAATTGGCTCCAACTATCTACCGAATGGATTCACTTTCATTTAGTCTCTTTTTGATGAGAGTGGGAAAAGGGTGTTGTAATTAGAGGAAAATCTTCCTAATTAAAGAAAATATTTATAAAATCTTTCTAATCATAGAAAATATCTATATAATCTTCTAGTTTATTTTTAAGTATGTTGTTTACTTATTTTCCTTTTCTAGAAGATTAGATTATTACAAATAGAGGTAAGGAGAATGTAACAGACATGAATGAAAATAATAAAATTCATTTTCTTTTTCAAGATGGTATCAGAACTCCTAATCTTGGGAGCTCCGTTCCGCTCATCAGTAGCCACCGTCGCCGTTGTCTGCCCATTACTACTGCCGCCATAGTCGATTGGGTTTGTTGATAGGGTAGAAAGGTGTGCCCAACTCCGACGCACACAACGCTCGAAATCGCTTTGGAAAAGACGCCGCCACACGCCACCACTATTGCCGACGCATGTAGCCCACACGCTTAGCTCCGGCGAGACCCACTCACCGCCACCATCACAGAAAGGGTCGTCGGAGCCTCTTGAGTCCATTCCATAGGTCCCCGGAGCCTCCTAGCCCAGATTTGAGTAGATCTGAGTTTTAAGTTCTGCTTCTTTTTCCAGTGTAGCCCACACGTCGTCGTCGTCTCGAATAGGGCCACCGGAGAAACCTGATTGTGTTCCAAGGGATGTCTGAGGTAAAAATTATTCCTTTGGGTCCTAATGATGTTCCAAATGTGGTGGGTGCCTATCAATAGGATGGTCGGAATTTCTTAAAATGGATCTAGTACATTCGAAGCAAGATTGTCAAACTCAAGAGTTTACGTAAACTCGTGAGAGTCCAATAAACTCGACTCGTAAACTCGTAAGAATGTACTTTGCATGAAAAAAATATATAAATAACATTCCTAACTCAAATAAGATAACAAAATTATATAAATTCAAATACATAAGTTCATAGAAATATTGTAAAACATAAATTGAAATGTCAAAGTCTCTATGTCTAATCCTCTAATCCTCTAATAATGGCATCATCATCTCCATCATCATCCTCATCTAACTCTTTATCTCATGAATGTTGTGCATCCTCATTGTCCCCAAATGTTATGTTATCAAGATCAAGAGCATCTAGAGTAGGATATGTTGTTGCTCCATCTAAGTGAACATTTTCACCATCATTTTCACCTTCAACTTGTTCAATCTCAACAACATCATCTGCCTCTTCAGTTATCCATTCATCATCTGATTCAATGTCATCAAATGGAAGAACTACAATTTTTCAAATTTGTCTACTTTTCAACTTGGAGTTATACAACACATAAACTAAATCATTCATCTTTTTTTGATGCAAATGATTCTTTCTCTTCGTATAAACCTAAAATGAAATATAATATTTTTAGTGAAGATATAAACATAATAAATAAATTTATAAATTAAAAATAATTTAAATTACCATTTCAAATGAGCTCCAATTACGCTCACATCCAAAAGAACTACAACTCAAGCTTAGAATTCGAATAACAAATCTCTTCAACTCCGGAGTTCCATCACCAAACATATCCCACCATTTCTCAGGATTTAACTCTTTCCTACACTCCTTTGCATCTTCCATTCCAAAAAGTCCTCTAGCATAATGAAATTCAACAATTTGTAAATTAATTTTTCTTCTTTCTGCCATATCTGGTATCAATCTTCTCATGCAAATATACAATCTTTCTTTCACCTCTCCACCATCATCACATCTAAAGTTAGGTTCATAGTGGAAATGAGGGTTCAAAAAATAGGCAGTTGCATGCAAAGGCCTATGAAGTTGATTATCCCATCGAGCATGAATTATTCTCCGAACCTCTTCATAACTACATCAATTATGCTATATCAGAAATAATTTCACACATAAGTAATTAAACATTGATTGAGTAAAAGTTTGAAAATTTACCTTTTTGATATTGTTAAAGTTAGACCTAATCTTCTCTTTTGCACAATCCATTTCTTCATAAATGAAACCCATTGCAGGTTTTACATCTGAGTCCACTAATCTTAAGACCACCATAAGAGGGGCAGCAACTTTCAAGCATGTGGAGATATTCTTCCAACACCGACTATCTAATACCACATGTTCTGCTTTTCTCCCCTCTTGTGAAGTTCCAAACTTGCTTGTCTTCCATTCCTCAGAGCTAAACATGGTCAACAACAATGCCTTCAATACATGAAAACAAGCAAGAGTTAAATAAGCCGTGACAAATCTAGTCACACCCGATCTTATCAAGTCTCTACCTTAAGTGAACTTTTTCAACAAGGAAATCAATATTGATCTTCCATAAATGTAAGTGGTAATCTTTCTTCCCTTCTTAATGGTCAATTCATGGACCTTCAAATTTTTTTCAAAATCTTCGAATATCAAATCAATGCAATGTGCTGCACATGGAGTCCAATACAATTTTTCCCTCTTTTGCATCAACAACTCTCCGGCTGTTTTGAAATTTGCAGCATTATCAGTGACAACTTGAACAACATTTTCTTCTCCAACAAACTCGACAACATCATCCAACATTTTGAAAACTTTATCAGCTGTTTTTGAAATGTCTGAAGTGTCAAGTGAATAAAGAAAAATCATCCTTTAGAACTATTCACCAAGAAGTTGCAAATAAAACATCTTTTTCTATCCGTCCAACCATCAAACATAATTGTACATCCAGTTTTCTTCCACTCCTCCTTATATTCCTCAAGATTTTCATCTTTTTTCTTCACAGCTTGTTTCAAGAGCTTCTCTCTAATATCATGATAAGATGTTGGTTTGTATCCAACTCCATACTTACCAATCATTTCACACATCTTTGTAAAAGCTGAATTTCTAATTACATTAAAAGAAATTGCACTAGGGTAAAAGAATTCAGCCACTTGAGCATCAACTTCTTCTTTGTATCCTTTTTTCATCATTTGATTTATAGTTGCTTGAACTTCCCCCTTGGTAGTAGTAGCAACTTTTTGTTTTCCTTTAAAACTGAATACGTTATGTCCTCCTTCAACACTCTCACTTTCTTCGTCATCTTCATCAATGATATTTAACTTTCTTTTCTTTCATGAAGAATTCTTAGCTTCCACAACTATTTTTATCATCAAATTTTTTATTTCATCCGAAACAGAAGCACAAGGTTCAAAATCTTCCCTAGTTCCAAAAAGATGATGCTTAAATTTAAATATGCCTCAACTTACAATCTTTGAACAATACTTCCATTTCACTTTTCTTCCATTGTTTGGTTGCATTACCAACAATAAAAGATATCCATTCGTTCAATTCCATTATTTTGTCATTCTTTTGTTTGTTTTGAGTGATTGAGAGGTTGTTTTAGTTACGTCTCCTACTGGGATACGTAACAAAATCTCTTGAACGAAAGCTCAAAAAACCTAATCTGGTGAGCCCTAAAAACAAAGTTGTTTTATGTTTTCGAAATTTCTTCCCAAACTCGCAAAATCATAACCAGGCTCGCGATTTCAGGCGAGTTTATCGAGTCTACCACCGATTCCACCGATCCTACACCAAAACCGAGTTTGCTTACAAGTTAACTCAAAAGCACTATGTGAACTCGTAAACTCGACCGAGTTAACGAGTTAACTCGCGAGTTCGATAACAGTGACTCGAAGGATTCTCAAGGGACGTTCAAGACTAGATCACAAAGATAGAGGAGGGCCAGGACTAGACGACACTATTTTCCTATTTGGGACAATGAAGATTCACTAATTATGACTTGGACGTGGCATTCCATGATTCCTGAGATAAGTCGAAATTATATGTTGCATTCTTCTACCAAAGAGATATGGAATGATTTACAGAGTACTTTTTCATTAAAAAAGGATTAAGTTGCAAGCTATGACATTGAAAGCAGGATATTTAACACAAAAACAGGACTCCCTTTCCATATCAGAATATCTCGGAATCCTGAATGGACTTTGGATTGAATTAGATCAATGCCAAACAATAAAGATGTGTAAAACAGATGCTGCCGCACATGTTGAAGCTGTGGAAAGAGGAAGAATCTTTAAATTTCTCCATGGCCTGAATCATGAGTACAACCTAATCTGGGTACAAATCTTAGAAAGAGAAAAATTATCATCCCTATCAGAAGTATTTTTTATGGTAAGAAGGGAAAAAACTCGGAGAGTTATCATGCTTGATGGGAAGATCTACAACACATGACAACTGGAAAGAACAAATGTTAGGGAAAGTCATTTGAAAAAAGTAATCGTGGAGACTATTGTTCATACTGTAAAAGATCTACACATACCAAGGAAACATGCTTCAAACTTCATGGAAGAAATAATGTTCTCGAGCACATGGGAAACAACAAAAGGTCTGCTCAAAGATGGGTAAATCATACTACCTCATAACAGGAAGCCATCATTTGATCTAGTACTTTGATAGGACTTTAAAGGTGTATGTTAGGACGAAGAAGTCAAACCAGAAGTTACAGGGCAATTAAGAGAGGTTGGATGGTTTAGGGGAGTGGTTAGTACAGTAGTTATTGGTAGTTATTATGTTTTAAAGGTTTCTTTTAAGGGGGAAACGGTTCCTCTTGGTGGGTGTGATGTAGTTATTATGTTTTAAATGTTTGACGAAAGAACAGTTAATGGGATACTTCTTTGCAAGATTGCATATCAATATTAGAATCTAGATCTGACCACATAATCCCAAAGATTTAATGAGAGCAACGGAGATTGAAACAGATGTGGAAGGAGTCTCAAGGGATGTCAAGACTGGAGAACAGACAACGTTCAAGAATAATCTATATCCAAGCCAAGAGGGAATAGTTTCTCGAGTAGAAACCAAGAAGGGAACTCGAACTAAACAAGGAAGCTCCAATCACTTGTGCACGACAAAGAGAGACGGAGGGGGAGTAACTTTGGAATCTATGGTGGGCAGTTCTAGTTCAGAGGAAAACAAGACCAAGGGATTCTAAAATTTACCATATCTTGTATATATCAAGCATAGGGAAGAGAGAAGGTGCTTTCAATGTGGGGGACCATATAGTCCTGGCCATAAATGTCCTGAAAAGAATCTTAGGGTGTTAATTTTGGGAGAGAATGAAGAGGAAGAAGAATTTGAAGTCAGAGAAGAAGAGCAAAAACAGATGGAGTTATATGTTTTTTTCTGCAGGAGGGTTAACTCAAACAAATATAATGAAGTTACAAGGATGGTTGCAAGGGAGGAAATTTTGATTTTGATTGATAGTGATTGCAGTAACAACTTTATCTCTAATCAATTAGTAGCTGAACTGGGTTTGGAAGTAGATAAAACCCTTCCTTGTAAGGTTAGTTTGGGAGATGGCCATCAAAAAGTTACAAGTGGAGTTTGTAAAGATTTAATTTTGCAGATGGAAGGGCTGGAACTACAGGAAGGTTTTTTGCTATTTGAACTAGGAGGAGTGGACCTTATTTTAGGGGTGGCTTGGTTAGCAACACCTGGAGAAGTTAGAATCAATTGGAAGGAGTTAACAATACGTTTAATGTTTCATCCAAGGAGGAAAAGAAGTGATAATCAAGGGGGATCCTTCTTTAACCAAGAAGGTTGTCTTATGAATCATTATTTTCTCCTATTCACTTAGCTTTTTGTACCAAATTTAATTATTGAATTCTGCTTAATTGTCCATTATTTTCTCAATTTTGCTATTTGGACTTAATTTGACCAGTAATTCATATTTTAATTAATTTGAATTATCTGAGCTTAATTATTCCCATTATTACTTTTAGGGCAATTCTAGAATTATATTTTGGACTTCAAGAGGGCTACCACGTCATCTACCATCGTCCACCTCAGCGTTTTATTTTAATTTCGTTTGGAATTTTATTTCCTTTGTATTTTGGGTCCAACTTAAACTTTGGGCCCATTTTTAGTATTAGGGAGAAGCCCATTTTAAGGGTTGTTGCCTAGGGTTTTGTACCCATGCAGTTGAACTTTGAAACATTTTATTCCATTCCATTGTGTTGGGATGTAAAGAGTTGCTCTGTGTTAGGTTTTTGTATTTGTCGTTTTCCAGTTTTCATTCTAATTTCGTTTTCATTGCAATTTCATTTTACTGCTCTTGCTTCTGCACTTTCATTTTCCAGTTTCACGTGTTCCAGTTCATTTTCGTATTCCAATTTCGTTCTCCTTTGTCTCTGATGTTTTCCAATTCGTTTTGCTGTTTCCAATTCGTTTTAGTGAAAGCTTGAATCTGCTGGGTTGGTAACCAGGGAGATTGCATTGCTTCTTTGAGATTACTGCACTGTCAATGTGATTTTGCTCTTCATACCTTGCATCATATGTAATCTATTATGTGCTTGCAATTAGGTACACACTTAGTGGTCTAATTTGTGTTTAATCTCCGCTTAATTGATTAGAGCCGCAGTTGCTTAATCTGTGGTGGCGCAGAAGTGATTAAATATGTGCATTGCGTTTGCTTAATTCACTATTATGAAAACCGTTTTAATCTTCACTTAGTTGATTAATTTGTGTTGAATTAGTGGTGAGAGGAGCGGATGAATTATTGCTAATCCAGGATTGGAAGCATTGCAATTGAACTAGTAGCCAACCTGTTTTTAATCATTGTTTAGTCTAAGTTGTTTGCTATGTTAATTTCAATTCGTAGATCTGCTCAAAAACCCCACTACGTGTTTGATCCTTTGACGGAACCAAAATTAGTCCTTAAGGGACGACCTAGAAATCACATCCTAGTATACTGCACTTAATTGCACAATTCAATTTGAGTCGGGTGCGGCCTCAACATCAAATTTGGTGTCGTCGCCGGGGACCAATGTTCTGTCTTATGTTTTGTTTAGTGTGTGTGTGTTCTGTTTTTAATATCTGTGTTTGTGTCGTTAGTGTTTGTTGTGTTCTGTTTGGTGTGTTTGTGTCGTTAGTGTGTGTTCCGTTCTGTTTTTAATTTCAGTATGTTTTTTCCTTATTTCCTTTTTTTAGAAGATTAGATTGTTACAAATAAAGGTAAGGAGAATGTAATAGACATGAATGAAAATAATAAAATTCATTTTCTTTTTCAAGAAAGGGCATTAGAGATTTGACATCAATATCTTTTAGCATTACAGCAAAAAATAGATTCGAGCACCTACACTAAAACTCTAGGCACGAGAGTTCCAAACATTGCCATAAGTGAACACTAGTGTGGAAAAATACATCGTTGGCGGAGGAAAGATATTTTAGCATACCTCGTGATCCAGCAACAAATTTTCAGGCTTGATATCCCTATGAATAACATGCTTCTCGTGGCAATAAGCCAACGCCTTTGTGAGGCTCAAAATATACTGGAATTATAAAAATAAAAGACGAGTTATGAGTCAACATAAAACAATTTACCTCAATAAAGGAGCAAACAAAGATAATGACACAAAGTGATAGCATGTCAGAGTAATCAAGGCCCACCAGAAAAATATGAAAGCCCATATGGTTCAAAGAGTACATCTAGGTATTAGTTGTTATTATGTTACACTTGGAAATATTTTATGCTAGAATAAGCGACAGATGCCTCTTAGGGTTTTATTCACCAAAATAATTCAAGGTATTTATAAGACCTATCCATGTAACAAGAAAGATAGAGAGTAAAATTTGCATTTTCTTCATATCTTTCATCAGTTTATTTTCATCTTCTTTCCAGTGCATAACATTCTGGGGCTTTCAATGACCTACTTCCATGTCTCCTAAACCAAAAAATGACCCAGATGAAACCTTGGATACCTTTTTGGACAAATTAGCCAACCTTCAAACACAACTTCTCACTACTCAAGACCACGATGGTCGCTACATCACCCTTCAACAAGCTTTGGAATCTCATCAAACGGCTTTGGAAACCAAGCACGACACCATCAACCATGCGCTCACTACTTTACTATCCACCTTATCTTCTCATACTACTACCACAATACCACCCCACAATATACCTTTTGACACTCTTCAATATGTCCATAGGCACCACGCCTTCCACTCCACCCCAATTCCCAATATTTTCCAGACCATTTTTACTACAGCAACAACCACCACCATTCCACCTTTTTACTCTCCTCCACCATCAATCCCTTCCCCTATCTATCCACCAAAAAATCCATATGTTTCTTTTTTATGGAACAGATTCCTTAGATTGGCTATTTCAAGCTGACCAATTTTTTGAATTTTATAATATTTCTTAGGATTTTTTATTAAACATGTTTGTTCTTTATATGAAAGGCGAGATACTCAGTTGGCTCAAGTGGATGTACTAGAATCAACAACTCAGTGATTGGAATTGTTTCAATCATGCTCTAGAACTTCGTTTTGGCCCATCAACATATGCCAACAATTAGGCCAAGCTATTCAAACTCTGCCAACATGGCACTGTTACAGCATATCAAACAGATTTGAAAAACTTTCCAAGTGTTTTGGGCCTCACTCCCGAGATGATACTTAATTGTCTAATCTCTGGCCTCATCCCTGAGATTCACAGAGAAGTAGTTGTCCTTCAACCCACTTCAATCACCCAAGCTCTATGTCTTGCCAAGCTTTTGGAATCTAAAATAACGATTCCGATACATGAACCCTAAACACCCTTCCTCAACCCTCCTAAAGTCCCTTACCACAAACTCAAAGTCCATCTTCAACACTGATAGGTTTCTGAATATGAAACCTATCTAAACTCTACACACACACCCAAACAAGAACACAAATGACAAAAGAATGAATTTGTATTGATATCTGTTAGAAGTGCACTTTAAGCCTACATCAACCCCACAAAACCGACTTGTAAGGTGAGGTTTGCACCTCACTTATATATTATAAATTAGTCTTATCTCTAGTCGATGTGGGACTTCCAACACCCCCCCTTCACGTCGAGGTATAGACATCTCGTGCGTGATAGTAGAAATTGGGTGGTCCGATAACGGGTGGAATAGAAGAATAGAATGCCCACATAGAACTCGCTTGAAATGAAGAGTATTATTATTTATGTGGGTCACATTTTTTCCAACAATGGTATCAGAGCCAATGGTTTCTCTTGGTGACTAGGTCAGACGAGTATAATGATCCCTATACCGAAAGTCTTCCTGGCAAAGGGTATCCAGGTAAGTTCCGTTAAGATACGGCGGTTGGAAAGGGCTACTTGTAGTTGGGGTTGGTTAGGAATGCTTCCGCTGGAAGGTGAATTTAAAAATTTGAAGGAGAAAGTGGCAGATCAACTCGGCAGAAATGGAGAGTCGCTGCCTGCCAGTCGAGTTGTGGAGAAGAGTTTGAAATCATTGATAGATGATTTCGAGAGTTTTGTGTGCGTCGTCGAGGAGTCGAAGGACCTATCAAAGCTCATGGTATCAGAGTCATGGTTCGAGCCTATCCTAGCGATATTTGTTGTTTACTGGGCATATTGTTCCACCCACTATCGGACCGCTATCGGACCACCCATTAAAACTGTCTAATCCCACGTTCGAGATGTATATACCTCGGCGTGAGGGGGGTGTGTTGGAAGTCCCACATCGACTAGAGATAAGACTAATTTATAATATATAAGTGAGGTGCAAACCTCACCTTACAAGCCTGTTTTGTGGGGTTGAGTTAGGCTTAAAGTCCACTTCTAACAAGTTTCAAGGCCATATCAACAACTTCCCGATTAAAATCTTAATTGATACTAGCAGTTCCTATAACATTTTACAAACCCACGTAGCCCATCACCTTCACCTTTGTACTATCTCTATTCAATGTTTCTCCGTTATGGTTGGCAATGGGAAAGAATCCGATGTTTTTTCCTTTGTCCCAATGTCATGGTTTTTATCCAAACACAGACATTAACTATTCACTTCTACCTCATTCCTTTGGAAGGAGCTGACATGATTCTCAGTATGGATTGGTTACATTCTCTAAACCGTTTATAGGCCAATTTTTCCAGACCCAACTTTCTTTACTCACAATGGCTCCCTCATAACCCTACACGGTACAACCAAACTCTTACACAACCATGCTTCCCTTCACCTCCTAATATTGTGGGAGTGATATGCTAGAAATAAAAACATAATACACCCAGTAGACAAAATTAAAAACAATAGAAATCAAATCTGAAACTTCCTAAAATATCTTAATAAAGGCCCACTACGAAAATATCAAAAGTTCAAAAATTGCATCTAGATATTAGATGTCAATGTCATTATCTAATACTTGGGAATATTTTCGTTAGAATTAGAGACAAATGTCAGTTAGGGATTGACTCACAAAAACAATTCAAGATCTTCATAAGATCTATTTGTGTAAGAAGAAAGACACATGAAAATTTGAAATTTCTTCTTATCTTTTGTTAGATCCTGATGCATAACGCAGCCTTGTCCAAAATATAATATAACATAGTGTCCATTTATTTATTTTATAAACAAAAGGAATTTTCTTGCACGATTTTTCAGTACTTCCGAAAAAATTATCATTTGCTCGCAAAAATCCCTAAAATATTGTTTTTTTCTTGTTTTAATTCAAAAAATACAAAAAATATCCATAATTTGTATACATATCTTTTAATTTAAATCACGTAGAAAAAAATACACAAAAAAACGACTCCGTGGACTTTTCACGAAGTTTACACAATTAACATCTCTATAAATCAATGAAAAATGATTCATGAATATTAAAAAGGTGCATCAACACTTAATATACACCTAGAGAGAGTAAAAATGATAGGTTATAGGTTATAAGAAGAGAGAGATAGAAAGAAAAATAAGTATAGAATAGGTATTGATAATATGGAGGTGTATGTGTATCATTGCTCTAAATTAACATTTCACACTGCAGGCCACTACAACTAGTACATCTGCTGCAGTCATCATAAACAACTCATAATTTTTTTTTAAAAAACTTTTCAAAGATTACTCCGACTTTGCATTCTGTTCAACCTCTTCAGAAACAAAAATCAAATTTCTAAAATTAGAAAAACTACAGCTGCTTTCTTCTCATACTCATCTTTTCTCAAGAATTAAAACCCAATAATTGAAAAATGGCAAGAACCAATTAAAAACATTTATCTTCCTTGCAAGTAGAAAGATGAAAGCTTCCTCCAAATCAAGCCAGAGGAAAGTAATGATAGAGCTAGGTTCTATTTGGATAAACTTCTCTACAAACACTCACAGGGTAAGAGAATAAGATGGTAAAAATTGAATTTCTCTCCGATACAAAAATCAATCATAAACTTAACTTTCAGAAAACTCGTAATTTCTTCAAAAACCAAAGTACACAAATCAATTTTGGTAAGCTCGAAGGAAAAAGAAAATCCCTCATGAATTATGAAAGATCTTCAAAACATTGCACACGCTTGAGAAAATAGATTACCGTAGCAGCTTGTTTCTCTGTAAAGTGACCCTTCTTTCTCATCTCTTTGTAGACCTCACCTTTATGAGCATACTCGAGAATCAAGAAAACACGGTCAGTGTCATGAAACCAACCATAAAGACGCAGGATATTAGGGTGCCGAAGACTGGTCTGTATCTCCATCTCTCTCCTTAGTTGGTGATGAATTTTATACTTATCAATTTGTTCCTTGAATATAATCTTCAACGCCACAACAAAATTGCTCTGAAAACAAACTCAAATTATATTAAATACAAAAATTTAACTCTATTGGCTAATCAGAGGACAAAATCTACACTTCTAAAGATCATTGCTTAAGTGAACATTCTAATATTTCAATTACTTGAATGAATCAGAGAATATATGTTAAAGAAAATAGGAATGAAGCGAGAATTAAGAACCTTGACTTCTCTGGCAACATAAACTCTACCAAATTTGCCCCTGCCGAGAGGTTTACCGATCTCGAAGTCTTGGAGGGACCAATTTTGCTTTGAGTTTTCATCTTCCGCTGGATTTTGAGAAGCCATTTTTGGAGGAAAATGCAAAATGCGGCTCGAGGCACATCAGCGAGAAACATGAAATCTGGACTTGATCGAGCTGAAGAAACGAACGGAAGAAAACGAATCTACTCAAGAACCCTAGGCTTCGAAGGTTTGATCGGTGTAGATCTTAGGGTTAGAGGTAAGAAGAGATCTAATCGGTGGAAAAGAGGGATTCACCGATTAAATCAAAGGAATGGAAAGAAATCATGATTTTATTCGGTGAAAGGGCGAAGAACGCATGGCGGAAGCAAAGAATAGTTGAGCTCTAGTGAGTGCTGCTGCTAACAAAGATGGATAGGTGAGATACTTAAAAATTTAACTCAACCAAATACTTAAAAAGGAAATTTAACGAAAACCCAATATTAACATATAAAGTAAGTATAATGCCAAGGACAAAACGTAGATAGAAATCCCTTAGTGCTTTTGGTGTTCTCTCATCAAAATTAAAGTTTCAATTTAGTAATTGGTATAATAGGTTTCGGTTAAAGATTTTAACACTGAAGTATTTAAATTTTTGGATCGCGATACATTGACAATGCGAATTTAACAACGTTTTGACAACATCACGTGTCAGCGTTGTATGGGCTCATTTTGAAATTATTTTTTTTAAAAAAACCGATTTGGAAAAGGGGTCATGGTTGAACATTTGTTTATTCCGAAACCACCCTCCTTCCTTTCAGCACTCTCTCCTTGTTCCGAAACACTCTCTGCTCTCTCCATTTTAGGTTTTCAGTTTTTTCATTTGATATTTTCTCCCTCCATTTGGTGAAGTTGAGCAATCTCTCTGGACGTTGAGGAAGTTCCGTCGTCGGTGGCCTCAAAGTCTCTCTTTCTCTCTCGAGTTCGTGATTTCAACGATATACGTTCAGCGATCTCTGTGGTTGGTTTGTTGAAAGTGTCTCGTTCGGTGTCGATTTTGTCAAAGTTCTGAGATTTTTTTGTGCAATGGGTTTGTCTGCTGACATTAGTTCTTCTAACAAGGTATGAACTTTTCCCTTTCCGTATTCGTATTTTGGGGTTGGGTTTTTGCTTTTGGCCTTTGTTGGACATTTTGCTGGTTTTTGCTTTTGGGTTGTGACTTTTGTTGGTTATTTGTACTAACAAATATTAATTTTTTTTTGTAGTTGTTTGTTCGTCATCATTGAAAACAAAGTGTATTGCTACTTTGAATGGAATTTTGAGTGAGGAGCACAAGTCCATTATTTCGAAGACGCAATTTGGATGCTTTTAGAAAAATCCCCTTTTGTACCGAAAGTTGAAGAGTGCTACCCAGACATGGCTTAAACACTATCCAGGGGTCCTTACGAGTATGTTTTCAATGTTGTGTGGATTGATTATCCCTGTTGGCCATGGTTGAAGGTGTTCACAACAAGAAATTTCAAGTTAGGTCAGTCCTATGTGGATGGAAGACCAAGTTAAGGTGTTTCTAGGTTGAGAGGTGAGTTCCTGCACCATTGACACAGGACTGATGTTGTTGTAATCGATTACAGGGAGCTGGTAATCGCTTACCAGTAGAAAAATCCCCTTTTGTACTGAAAGTTGAAGAGTGCTACCCAAACGTGGCTTAAGCACTCCCCATGAATATTTTGGATTCGTTATGACTGTCTTTTGAAAGTTTTGTGGATGGATCACTAATGGAACACTTCAAGTTGGAATACTTCAATATTAAACAAATATAAATGAAATAATTAAGGGTATTGAGTAATGAAAAATTATAACAATATTAAAAAGCACTTACATTAATAAAAAAACGTAATGACATTTCCCGAAACAACAAGTTTTGAAATGAAAAGGTACATAATAGTATACAATGTAATGTAATATAAGAAGGTGGTTGTCGATCAAATTGATTGCGGAAGTTAATAAGTTCTTGCTCTACGAGTTGTGCAAAAATCGTCATGAACTTGAACTACCTTGGTTCAAACACCTATAAGAGTTTTTACCTCCACAATTGAGTGGGGGGAAACTGTGTTTCGATACACTTGACACCATCAATGATGACCAACATGTGTTTCATCCACAATTGAGTGGGCCAAATTGTGTTCGTGAGCACGGGCTTGAATTGAATAGATTGACTACGAAAGAGAATCAAGGAAGGAAGAAGACTCTTGCCTTCAAATCTGAAATTTCTAAGGGAAAAAGTTCAAAAAGAAATGATAACGATGACTCTGATGATGAGGAAAACATGAGCCTCATGATAAATAAGTTTGCCAAGTTCATGAGAGCAAAAGGAAAGGATAAATACCGTGGAGAAAGAAAAGAAAATCAAGGTTCTCCGTCAAGCGTGAAGTGTTGTGGATGTGGAGAAAGAGGACATGTGAAGACTGACTGTCCTAAGAATAAGAAAAGTGAAGAAAAGAAGGAAAGAAGATTTCCCAAGAAAAAGAAGGCTTACATAGCTTGGGAAGAAAATGCTTCTAGTTCTTCAAGCTTAAGTGAATCAGATGAAGAAGTAAATCTTTGCTTAATGGTTGACTCATAAGACACGGGAAGTCAAGTAAGTGATTCTAGCTTTGAGTCTAGTGAGTTAGATTTACAAAAGGCTTTCTTTGAATTGATGAATGAATATGAAAAACTTGATGTTGCTCATAAAAAGCTAAAGAAAGAAACATAATGAATTAAAATTGAAATATGAAAAAGCATTAGATGAAGAAGTATTATTAAGAAATAAAGTTAGTAATCTAGAAACTAAATTGTTTGAGTCTAATGCAAATGAACAACCTGTTGAAGGTTTATCTTGTGAGAGTCATATGTTTGATATTGACATTCTTGAAAATTTACTTGCAAAGGCATCCAAGCCTAACTCATATGCTAAAACTAACTTTAAAAGAAGCAATAATAGTAGTAAGAACATGCATCATCATAAAAAAATCTAAAGTTAAGAGAACTCGTAGAGTTTGGGTTGAAAAAGGGACTTTTGTGAAAAATAAGGTGCATTATGTTTGTTGTTTTTATTGCATGAAAAAGAGGCACACTTCTAACAAATGTAGAATCAAATATTTTGATGTTCCTAATGGAAAATATGTTTGGATTCCTATAATAAAGTAATTTGTCTCTAACCTCAAAGGACTCAAATAAGATTATGGGAACCAAAAACTCTCTTGCTTAATTTTGCAGGATAAGTTTACAAAAAGGAGAAAAGAGCTCTATGGTATGTTGTTTTTGGAATTGATGCTCCAGGTCAGGGAGTGACTCCATCAAGTGGTATCCAAAGCCTTGGTTTGAGCACCATGTGATTGAGCTAAGTGTTTTTTAAACTATGTTGTTGCATTTATTTTAGTTTATAAATTAGTTGATGAATCATTAATATCTTAACCGCTTGAAAAATGACTGCTGATTTCATGAATTAATTAAGTTTGATAAAAGTTGAATTTGATTTGCTAAGAATTATTGAAACTGGTTTGGAATTGCAAATACTAATCTGAACTGGTTTGTAAGCATTTCTACATTGCATTGGACTGAACAAATCTTAAAATATTTTTCAGAATTTGTTTTTGAGTTTAAGGGAAATATCACATTTAGGGGGAGAAATTTTTGTTTAACATCTTATGTCATGATCTTGTGATACTTGATACCCATTTAAGGGGGAGATATATAAGGTTGTTAGATACCTTGTTATTTATCTATACTCTGGTATTCATCATGTATTTGCCTCTCATTTTATAAAATTTCAAATTTTATAATATTTGAATTGCATCGTTCTTTTGTTGAGGGTGAAAGCCACTTGAGAGGCTGTCTTTATTTTTATGACCTAATAAGAGAATTGGGAGTAATAGATATGTCTTAGAAGTAAAATTCGTAATAGTTTTGAGTTTTTCGTAAGTTTAGCGTATTTAATCGATTATTAAGAGGCTGTAATCGATTATCCTAGCTCGTTTTTTTAATTACGTTGGTTGCCTGGTGTATTTACCGAACGACGCATGCTCTATTGTTCGGTTATAGTTGTGATACGGACCGGACGGTTCATATGGTACACAAGGAGAAGTACGTCAGCTACCGAACGGGTTTAAGAAGTACACAATAATTGGGTTTTCCTTCTTTTAATTAAACCGGACGGTCCATATGGTACATTAATTTTTTCCTCTTGTTATCATTTCTTGCATAAATTGATTTCTTGAGGGGGAGAACAACTTGAGGGGGAGTGCTTTTAACTTCTTTTTGCTTATGATAAAAAAGGGGGAGAAAGTGTTTTCAAGTAGTGCAATTACTTCTAACATGTCTTGGTTTGTGAGTTTGTATTCTATGCAGATACACAAAGATGCTTTTAAACAAGGGATTTTTTATCATCATCAAAAAGTGAGAGATATTTACCAATGTGGAGCATTGATGTATTAAGAATAAAGATTTTGATGATGTTACAAAGTGAAGAATATGAAAACCGTATTGAGTTTAAAAGCATATTAATATGTTGATCCGCGAGGAAAAAAACAAGAGCGCAGATACAAACCGAACGACATATAACAATTGAAGGCACTATCAACCTTTGGGACGAACTGACATAACTCAACCTCGGACCCAAACCAACTCAGCTCGACCTTCCCCCTATGTTGATTTAGCTTAACTTTTCTCGGGCTGACTTGGCTCGTCATTCGACCTGTTCTTACTCAGTTGTACCTTCGGCTAAGCTTGACTTGGCTCAACCATCATTGTTGCTCAACTTGGCTTGACCTTTGACCTGATTTAATCGACTCGATTATTAACTTAAAATTATCTTGGCTCGACCTTCGGCCCAAGCCTTGTCCCTTGACATTTGGCCTAAGCCACTCCATTAATCCTTCACCCTGAGCTTACTTCACTTAACCTTCGGCCTCAACTAGCTCGGGTGAACCTTTGGCTTGATCTTCAACCCCGACTAATTCGGCTTAACCTTTGGTCCATGTTGTCTTTACTTGACCTTCGGCCTGGACCAACTTGGCTCGACTTTCAACTCAGACTAAATCGACTCGACCTTTGACCTAGGCTAACTTGACTCAACCTTAAGCTTAAACTAGCTTCACTCGACCTTCGTCCTAAACCGAATTTACTTGACTTTCAACCTGGGGTTACTCTGGTTAACATTTGGCTTGGGCCACTCCACTCCTCCTCCATCCCTGATCGACTTTGCTCGACCTTCGACCTCAACTGACTGAGTGGATATTCACCCTGGACCAACTCGGCTCGAACTTTGACCCTGACTGTCTCGGCTTACGTTTGGCCCGTGCTGATTCGACTCGACCTTCGGTCCAAGCTGACTTGATTCGACCTTTAATCTAGTTCAATTCCGTTTGACACTGGGTCGTACCATTCCACTCGTCCTTTGGCCTGAGCTCCACTCGACCTTATCCCAAACTAACTCGACTCGACTACTCAGGTTAACTTAGCC